GCCCCGTCCTTCGAGAACTGGAGTTCCTTCCTGCCTTTTGCGGAGTTTGCACTCAACAATGCCGAACACGCGTCGACGGGATTGACTCCGTTTTTCGTCAATAACGCGCGTCATCCACGTGTCCCCGCACAACTTGCTGTGGGCCAACCCACGGCGACTGATGGTTTCACTATGGAGGGGGAGGAATGTGATAACCCTGCCCAACCGGTTCCGATACTGGTTCAACCACCGGTTTCCGGTGAGACAACGGTTCTGCCGTCTACGAGTTCAGCTACTCCTGCAGTAGACATCAACGCGGTGACGCGTTTACAGTCGAAGAAGATCCTCGCACCCGCGCAATCCACGTCGTCGCCGTTAGTTGACTGGACAAACCGAACGCTGATCGCTCCAGCACAGCCACACTCGACTGTGGCTAACTACGCGCCGAAACCGCCAGCGCGACCCGCTGACAAGGCAGCGGTATCCGACTTTGTCCTTCATCGCCAATCGGTTACCCGATTTGTCCGTGACGCGCTACAACTCGCGGTTGACAAGCAGAAGGGAAACGCTGACAAACGTGGCCGCAAGAACACAAGTGCATTCAAGATTGGTGAGCGTGTATTACTCTCAACGGATAGAATTCGTATCTCTGCTATTACGAACCTAGGCGCGAGCAAACTCGCGCCGCGCTACATTGGGCCATTCAAAGTACCACGATTTATGGGTGATGCCTACACGCTAGACATTCCTACGTCGCTACGACTACACCCGACGTTCTACGTCGGGCGACTTAAGAAGTATCTTCCAGCGATGATTCCGGAGGCGGGGCAGGAGCATGCGTTGAGCGGCCCTCGCGATGAGCCTGTCAAGCCAGCGTCCCATCTGCCCCAGTTCCCCGCTCGCGCGGAAGAGTTCCACCCCTCGGCCCGCCAAACACCTGGGCCTCCAGACTACGCAGTCGCTGCAAGAGTCCACGATTCGACTGCCGCAGACTACTCGCCGTCGCCTCGGCGTTCCAAGAGCTCTCAGCCGCCCGCTCGGCCTCCTCCTGTGCGTCCCGAGAAGTGTTCAGTGCCTGCTCAACGTCGTTCTGGTCAACCAGGTCGCGTCGAATTCCACCGCGACGGTCCTCCGCCCATCGCTGACTCGAATGGAGATACGTGCTGGATCGTGGACCGTATTGTTGATCACGAAGATCCTCCCCGCGCGTGTCACTCGACCAAGTCGTCGGCTCAACACGCGGCTCCCGCCGCGCGGAAGTATAAGGTACGATGGCTCGGGTTTCAACATGCTGATGATACGTGGGAGCCTCGCGCCAACTTGCTTCGTGACGTTCCTGATGTCGTCCATGACTACGACTCCAGCCTTGAGTCAAACACGGCCGCGAGCGACCTCGCGGCGATCGAGAACGCGATCGACTACGCGCCCGACGAGACGTCGAATGCGCCGGAGACGGGCTCCGTCGCGAACGCTGTCGGCGCGAGCCGCCGCGAATAGCCGCCTGGGTGAACTCGGAGAGTGAGCGCTTATACTATTCGATCCAAGCGTGCTCGGTCGGCATGAGCGGATACTCGACAATATGCTGATCCCACTCAGCTTGCGTCGGGCGTCGCCCGATGTCACACGAGCTGCAACCTTCGCGTACGTTGACATAGCACAAACGGTCTTCGGTCAAAGCGTCGTCGCAGACTTTCAGGTGCAGATCACCGAGTGAATGCTCGGCTTGTAGGGCTTCGCGATCACCGAGCCAGCCGACGACACTTTCTCCAGCCTCTTGCATCCGATTCCACCGTCGGATGAATGCGCACCATGATCTCTGCAAAGCTTCGTACGTTGCGCCGTCGAGTGTTTTGTTCCGGAGACGCCTGAAGCGTCGAAAGTGGTCCTGCATGGTGTCCAACGCGTCCGGGGTCACCGCCCCGGACAAGTCGTACAGCGCCCACGGCTTCATATCCTCGTTCATTACGCCGGGCCGAACCCCAGGTCGACTCACGCTCTCAGGTGCGATATCAGTGGTCCACCCACTGTTCAGCGTCGTCGCCGACGCTGGAGCCGTCCGCGTTGTTCCGCTTCCTGCCTGGTTCGCCGCCCCCGTCTGCTGCGCCATGTTGCTCTCGTCCGCGCAAGTTGTATTGTACTGCTCCTGGGCTTCGCAGGAGCTCCCGCGCGTCAAGTTCTGAAGCGTTCTCTTCTCCGCCATTTCCCAGTTTTTCCCAATTGTTCTCTGAAGCGCACGCCCGTTAGGTGATTGCTGTCTTACGAGGGGGGTGATGTAGTGGGCCCTCCCAAGTTACATATGTAGGTAGTTTTATAGGTTCTTTGCAGTGGTTCACACCATTACATAAGTTGGTAGATTTGCATTACAAAAGTAGGTGCAGCAGCACACGAGTAGCGTGTGCTGAACTGCCGTCACCTTATTGGTTGAAATATGGGAGCCAGACCCATAATCAACCAATAAGGAGTTGACGTGTATTTGAGTGGTCAGGGCAAGCTGCCCTGGACCTAAATAAAAACAGAGTTGATTTTCCTTCAGACTAAGTACTTGGTTTCAGTATCACTGGACTTGTACGCTTCCTCATCACTACGTGTAAGCAAGTAACGGACACCCCAGGCCCGTTACATCTGCAGAATGTGGACTCGCATTTGAGATCAATGGGCAGTCATTACAGACATACCGTGCATCTCTCCCCCAATTCTCGGACTTTGGCGATGTCGAAACCGCAGAAGACGTCGCTGATAGAAACGCAAATCAGCTAATCGTCAGCGAAACTTCATACGAAGCTGATGCCCTAGAGCGCCGCTCCGAGAATTTGTCGTCCCTGAATGTTGACCAGAAGAGCGTGTTCGACAAAGTGATGACGGCTGTGGTTTCAAAAGGATCTGATTCGTCGGTGCCCCATCTATCTGGGAAGCTCTTCTTCGTGGACGGACCCGGAGGATCTGGGAAGTCCTTTCTCCTTGAGACGTTTCTTGCTACTGCTCGTCGTTCCGGACGTATTGCACTCGCTGTTGCCGGAAGCGGGATCTCAGCTCAACTTTTAAGCGGTGGTCGCACGGCCCATACGACGTTCCGACTCCCGTTGGATCCCGATGAAAGTTTTACGTGCAACTTTGGTGTCGAAGCTGCGCTGCTGAAGAAAACAAGCTTTATTGTTTGGGATAAAGCTCCTATGACACACCGCTTCCAATATGAAGTAGTTGATCGCACGCTTCGAGATTTGCTCAAGAATGATAAGCCCTTTGGTGGCGTGACGATGCTTCTATCGGGAGATTTCCGCCAGACACTTCCCGTTATTCCTCGTGCGGGCCCTGCTGAGGTTATAGCAGCTTCGTTGAAGAAATCAGCATTATGGCGTCACTTCGAGTGCTTACGTCTTACTACAAACGTGCGAGTTCAGACCGCACAGAATGACCAAACAGCGGAAGAGGTGCCAGCGTTTGCGGAATAATTACTGCGCATTGGAGATGGCAGAAACGACACGTCTCCCTATCTAGACAAGGATTTCGTCAAGATTCCGCAGGACATGTTATTGAACCGTGCTCCGCATAGCGACGACGAGTGCGAAGAAATCAACGAACAAGTCGGCCGATTGTCAAGACTTTCGAGATTAATTGATACCGTCTACGCGGATTTTAACAAGGGACATCAGCCTGACAATTACGTCGCAGAGCGGATAATTCTCACATCCAAAAACGCCGACGTCTTAGCCATTAACGATTTGATTCCTGACAAGTTGCCCGGTGATGCGCAGGGGTACCAATCTGTGGATACCCTAGACGGAGATGACGAGCTTGAGCGGCAAGAACGCAGCGATCTTTACCCTCCTGGATTTCTTAACACATATTTACTCAGCGGTATGCCTCCTCACAAGCTTCGCCTAAAGTTCGGTACGCCAGTGATGCTGATTCGAAACATTGACACAAAGGAAGGGCTCTGCAACGGGACACGATTGCGCGTAGTATCTCTGGGAGGAAACCGCATGGAGGCTGTCATCATGGGTGGGAGCTTCGCGGGCAAGACAATCTTGATACCAAGAATTGCATTAATTAGCAAGAACTGCGGAGGAAACAGTTTCCTGTCCAGGTGGCATTTGCGATGACAATCAACAAGTCCCAAGGCTAGTCTATACAGCTACTGTCCCGGAGCCGGTATTTTCACACGGACAGTTTTACGTTGCGGTACCTCGAGTAACGGCTCGACAGAACATTACTATTCTGGCAGAGAACCCTGCTACGACGGAAGACAGTCTGTACACCAAAAACATTGTTTACAGAGATATTGTAGCTTACTTTAAATAGAAGTGAAACTTTTTATTCCCGTCGAGCGTAGCGAGGTGGCCTGATTAATTGGGACCAACCCTCCGAGCGAAGCGAGGCCTCACGCTTCCTCCCTCACGCTTCATCTCGGCCTCAACTTGCCCAAAGAGCTCCGCTTGCGGGGCTCCGCTCGGCTTGTAATATCATACTTCTCCGGTCCGGAAAAGAATTAATAGTTATGTGTTTGAATAAAAAAACTCGCATGTGTGATTCGTCAATGACCATTCTGGGATAGGTACGATTGGTTAAAATGAGTTCATATGAGAGTTCGTATGCACACGGATTGAGAGTAATTGATAGAAAATGGATTCAATTGTTTTTAGTGGTATACCACTAGATTAAGCTTCGTTTGCGCTTTTTCTAGAATATTTTAAAGTTTAATTCTGATTATTTTTGACGCCAAAGCAAAAAAAATCTCCACCCCTCCAAAAGGTGATAGTTCAAATGGTCAGGTATTGGCATAATTGGCGGAAAATTTGTTCATAAAAATCGCTGCTGCTACGTAAGTACTTTCAAACTTCGGTTGGAACTGTACGACCGAAGTTATCGCCGATTTAAAGAACAGTTAATTCTTTTTCGGACCAGACAAGTATTATGATACACGTAGACCTTGAAATGTGCTTGTTGTGACGACAAGAAAATGTATCATCTCGTTAAATAGTCGAAGGCGCAGCAATTTAAAACGAGGCTATCCGCACTCACAATAAGAGCGCTAAGACGCCATTTTAACTCCTGCTGATAACCTCGGATCGTTTAGCTACAAAACAATTAGCTTCGAACGTCTATCTCCAGCGGCCAGACTCGGGAGCGCGAGACGAACTATCGCGGTCACCAGCGCAAGACGAATTATCGCGTTCACCAGCGCGAGGCGCGCGATAAGAACCTTCACGCTGTGAGCGACCAAAGAAACGGTCATCTCCATCACGGTCGGCTCCACGACGGAACGAGTCGCGCTCGCCATCGCGGTCACCACCACGACGGAAAGATTCACGGTCGCCATCACGGTCCCCGCCGCGACGAAAAGATTCACGGTCGCCATCACGGTCACCACTACGGCGGAACGACTCGCGGCTGCCCCAGCGAGAACCACTCTCCTCGCGGTCGCCACCGAAGCCACGGCGCAGACCGCCCTCACGGTCCTCGCGATCACCGCCAAAAGCACGACGCACGCCGCTTTCACGCTCATCCCGATCACCACCAAATCCACGACGAGAACCACTGTCACGGTCACCACCGAAGTCGCGGCGAAGGCCACCGCTCTCGCGTCCGTCGCGGTCGCCGAAACTCTCGCGAGCGGTAGGTCCACGACGCTCCCAGCGGCCTTCAGGTGCCACTGTTTGAGCACGGCTGGAAGGACCACCACGGCTAACTTGCGTCCACTCTCCATCGTTCCTGTCGTCGCCACGGTGGTCGTCATCACGGCTGCGGTTCGAATCGCGGTAGCTGCCGGACAGGCCACGAGCACCAGCGCTGCCGAATCGACCCTGGCTGCGCTGTTCGACACGCTTCTCTTCCTCCTCGCGCTGACGCTGGCTCCTCTCCTCACGCTCCTTCTCTTCAGCAATACGACGTTCCTCAGCCTCTTCCTCCTCCTGGCGACGAAGCTCCTCCTCCACCTGAATCAGGCGCTGGCGTTCACGTTCGGCTTCTTCCTCGCGACGGATGCGTTCCTTCTCCTCTTCCTCCTCACGCAGACAGCGCTGCTCCTCCTCGTAGCGCTCCTTGGCGTGAGCCACGCGGGCACTCAGACGCTCCAGCATGGCCTTCTTCTTCTGCTCCTCCGAAGCCTTCTTGTATTCCTCAATACGACGAGCCTTGTGAGCCTTAACGAACTCGGCGCTCGCCTCGATAGCCGGGGCCAGGCGAGCCTTCTCCTTCAAGCCGTGTTCGTGCTCCTCCTTAGCACGCTTAAGCTTGGCAGCCGACTCCTCTTCGTAGCGCTTCAGAGCCTCCGCCTTGGCTTCGGCAGCCTGGCGCTGCAGAATGGGCTGCTCCTCCTCGCGAGTAGCACGTACAATGTAGTCGAGACGACGAGCATTCTCGCGCAGTTTCTGCTGGGCAAGTTCCTTGGCCTTGCGAGCCTTCTCCTTAGCCTCGTTCAGTACCTTCTCCTTGTCGATTGTTGCGAGGTCCATGTCGCTCACATTAGTGTGGCCCAGCTTGTCCAACATCTGACGGGTCTCCTTAAGCTTGATCTCATCCTGAATCTTCTGCTTCTTGTCGGCCTCACGGCGACGAGCTTCCTGGGTCAGACGCTCGCGTTCGAGCTCGGCGCGACGCTTTGCAAACTCCCGCCGTTTCTTCTCGAGCGACTGGAGCTTCTCCTGCTGCAGTTTCTCCAGCTCTTCCTTCTTACGCTCAATAATCTCACGCCGAGCCAGCATCTCGGAGCGTTGTGACTGCAGACGAGCACGGGTAGACGCAAGGAGCTTCTTCTTCTGCTCGTCGACAGCTGCGTTAATGGCCGAGGAGGTGGCAGGAACCTTGCTCATAGCACGGGACAGACGCTCACCCAGAAGCGTCAGCTGGGCAGCATTGGCCTCCAGATCCACAGCGTCAGTGAAGCGAATGCACTGCTCCACATGGTCGATGCGGATCTTAGTTCGCGTCTGAGCAGACGCCACAGCGTCGGCTGATGACGTCTCGGCGTTGTTGCTGCCATGCTGCGTAACATTACGGCGGTACATGCCGGACAGACTAGGTGCACTGGTATGCGCGACGGTGCTGAGACTACGCGACCGAGCAATAAGGGTCTCAATCTCCTCGTAAGAAATATCGAGGCCGACGAAGATAGAGCGCAGGTGGGTGATCGTAACACTAGCGTACACGCGGGTGAGCTGGAACAGCACACGACGCACCACAAGGCGCTCAACACCATCGACGTAGGCTTTGGCTAGCGGATCAGCACGAATCTTGGTCAGGAAAGGCTCTAACTGCTTCACAATCTGCAGAGGGTCCACTTCCTGCAGCTCCACACGCTGGAAGATCTCACTGGCAGCAGTGGAAGCCTTGGGGAGGATGCCAGCGGCCTCGATGTCCTCGAGCAGGTTAGCACGCGTAGGCGTAGTGGAAAAGCCCAACAGAGCAGCCATTCGCGCATTCTTGTCACGAGCAGCAGCAGAGAGGGAGCTCTCGGCGGTCTGGGCAGCCGATGTCTCGTCATCTCCAAGAACAGACGAAGACGCTTCAAAGTCCAGTAGCGGAATAGATAGAGCAGCAAGCACAACGCGTGTGGCCATTTCCTTCTGTTCACCCTCAGAAACCAGCACAGGCAGCTCTTGTAGAGCCTGGGAGCCAGCGAGGCCCTGCAGACCAGCCACACGCAGCGAGTACCACTTGTACAGCGCGTAGGCATGGAAGAGGTGATTCTTGGACACCTGGAAAATCTGCGCCAGCTTCTCGTAGTACGTGACGAGAAGGTCCACGCGCGGGGTCTGCTCCACCAAGTTCATAATGTTGTTGATGTCATCGATCGTACGGAAGGCCTCCGAGAAGAGCTCGAGGTCGGTAGCGACCTGGAGCTGACGATAACGCACTTCCAGCAGACGCTCGACGCTATCGAGAGTGAATCCTTCCCAGCTGCGCATCTGGCGGGTCGATTGGCTCGTGGGCGCCGCCACGTGCTTCTGCAAAGCGCTCAGGTGGTTGCGCATGATCTCACAAACGCGACGGAACTCAATCTTGCGCTGGTATTCAACGCAAAAGTCGAACGCTTGCATAGCGGTGGTCTTGTACAGCGGCTCAAGCTTCGAGTTGCTCTTGAGGATGTCCAGAACCGTGCGGTACGTCTCCCACATAAATCGAAGCCATGGAACAACCACTTCGCGGTCAGTGCGGTCGTTGGATCCCTCAAAAGTGGTGGTGGACAGCATCACGTCCTCAGGCGTCTGCGCAGCGTCCAGATCCACCTTGGCAGCGGCCAGAAGATTGAGCTCGTTGCTCTCCTTCTTGGCTGCCGCAAGCTTGCGCTCAGCCTGCGTGACGAAGTGTTTAATGATGGTCTCGAGCGACGCCGGGTTGTGCTGGATGCACAGGTTGCGGTACTGGTGAAGACCGTCCTTGGCTACGCGGCCCATCTGCAGCTCTAGACAAATGTCCAGGTACAGGATCATGAGCTCCTCGTGAGTGGGCTGCCACGTGCGGTTCTTTTTGGCGATGAGCGCATCGTGCAGGATCTCGAGCGCCGAGTGCTTGGTACGCTTGAGCACCCCGGCGTCCACGTTGGGGATGGCCAACAACTCACGCGCGCGCTTCAGAGCATTTTCCGGCTTGTGGAAGAAGTGCGACATGCTAGAGTCTTACGTGTGTGTAGGAGCTGATAGGAGAGGGGGGTTAGCAGCGAAGAGCTAAGGTGGCTTTCACCTGGTGAAGAGGGATACGTACACGAAGAGGTCTAGCAAAAGCTCTTTACGACTGATCGGTGGCTGGGAGCCTGCGAAAAAGAGAGGGACTTCTATTCAAGTCGTTTGTGGTACGTACATAAATGGAATCGTGCCTCCTTTATCCACCAATTTGGGGCCGGTTGATCAGTTTGGGGCCGGTGTGATTTCGACCAATGCGTAGTTGCAGTTTTGTGTCTCTGTCTCTAATTCGTAGAAATCAGCTAAAGTACGAAACCTACACAATTTGATGAGCCCAAACTTGGCGGGAACATGGTTGGTTACCGCGGGAAGGCAATTTTGAACAAAGCTCACTTCCAAAACGCGCGCGATGGTCAAAATCTACACTGCAACAGAAAAGCAAGCTATAATCGCTGAAGTACAAGCAGGCGAGACGATTGTTGCGGTCTCTGAGTCTTCAGCAGCACATGAGCGAACAATCAGGAAGTGGATAAAGACATTCAAGGAGGGGAGCTCCCTGGCCGCTGCTCGAAATTGACCAAAAACGTTCTTTCCTCATGAAGTGGAGCAGCATCTCTACGATTGGATTGTTGGGCGGCAGCTTGTTGGCCGTCCGGTTGGCCGCTCTGACATTATATTCAAGGCACAAGAGATAGCGTTGCTGGGTTGTGGCCAAGATGTTGGGGAGGGTTGGTACAAGCGCTTCAAGGCTCGCTTTCCTGCGCTTACAGGACGAACAGCCCAATCGCTTTCTTTAAAGCGGAACTGCGTTATCCCTGCAGATCTCACTACCCTTTTCAGCACGCTAGCTAAACTAATGGTAGAACTGAAATTGGACAGCTCTCGAGTGCTCAATATGGATGAAACCGCGTTTCAAAAGCAGCTCAAGAGCAAAATAGTGGTTGCGGTGCGTGGTTCAAGTAATGTGTGGAATACTGAGCCTACTGCTAACTTCCATCTTACTATCGTTGCATGTGGAAATGCTGGTGGGTTTGTGGTGCCACCAGCTTTTATTCTGCCTGGAAAAACGGTTTCCTCCCGGCTGCTGGAAAACAGCGGCCTCCCTGGGTCGGCTGTCTCGACGTCTCCTTCGGAATTTATGAACACCGGGCTCTTTGAAGAATGGATGAAGTTTTTCGCACACTCAGTGCCTAGCTCTACGCCACGCCCGCTGTTGCTAATTCTGGACAGGTGTGGATCTCACCACTCAGCTTCAGTGGTCGACACTGCTGCAGATTTGAATGTGATGCTGGTTTTTCTCCCTCCAGATGCAACCCACCTTCTCCAGCCCCTCGATGTAGCTGTATTCGCAACACTTAAGAGCAAGATTCACAAACTCATCAGCGAACTGGTAGAAGAAGACGACAATGGCTACTTCAATATCAGCAAAGATGATGCTATCCAGGTGTCTTGCCTCGCGTGGAAAGAAGCGAAGGTGGGTCGCAACGTCTCGAGGGGTTTTAAGGCCTGCGGATTGTATCCACTTTCGCTAGTCAAGATGGGCGCACGCCTGGAAAACTTTTCCCGCAATGGCGCTCCGCGGCACGTGCAGCTTGCCACATGACTACAAATGCGAGCTGTCGTTGAGGGTGAGATTCTAAAACTACCGGCTGCACCGCGCAAGAACGACGACAAGAAGCGGAAGCGGGTCTCTGTTGGTGGGCGCCTTCATTCTCACGAGGTGCTGCAGCAAGTTCAAGCTTCCAGTGCCGCTCATTCTACGAAGAAGCGCCGACAGCCAAATCCAGCCCCATCGACGCCTGACTGTGCTACTGAGATCATCGAGTCCGTACTAGTGTAGGCGTGTGGGCTGCATAGCAAATAAAGTGGATGGTTAGCTGACGTGTTTGCAACCGAAGAATTACATCACTTACCAAAACGAGAGCGACATTAACTGCCCCGCTACCGTCGATTCTCGTGCGCTTTCTTGCGCTTTTGAATTTGACAGCATGACCCCCGCCCTTTCGGGTACTAGCACATCACAGGAGGGGGCCTTGGAGCAGCGGAATACAGGGGGTTCGAGCCACATCCCTTGGGCAGGTGTGTGACGCGCGTGGGGAGGCGAAGGCGTATTCGCGGGCCCAGGGAGGCCGACGATCCGTGCCGTGTCGTGTGCGCCGTGGAGAGCTTTCCCGTTTGTGGCGTTTTTATAAAAGTGGCTATAGCCTTGAGAATAAATAACCTATCCAATATGCTTCGCAAGCCCAAATATGTCATATAATGATTATCCTAGCCCTTTCGATGGCGAGCTACAAAGCATACATAATGCAAGTCAAAATTCCGGCCTCTAACTGATCTAGGTCGCATTTCGAGCCGTCGGTTTGAATCGCGGCCTCGAATATGACATAACCCAATCGGGGTGAGGTTTCAGCCTTTCTAGAAAGCGCAAAACGCGGGCTTCCAGGGCCTGTCATATTTTGTACTCTTCTTCACCAGTGTTCTCACAGCTCCGCCCTAAAGACACTTCGTGCAAACCGGTCCCAAATTGGTCGTTTCCCTTAGTAGAATACTGTACCAAGCCCGGGGTTCAGCCCCGGCTCTTTTTCCCTGTTTAAGCCACAAGACATCACAGCAAGAGAGTTGTGTATTTTATCGGTCTTCTGATTGGGCGATCTATTGTCCCAAGAAAGATAGGCTGACGAATCAATGGCGAACGACTGAAGAAGGAGCCCGAGGTTGCTTCGGTCGATTTATGCATCTCTCTCGGAACCTACACTTCAGCTGCAATAGTGTGAGTTACAGACAGACGTCGAATTCAGAAGAAAAAATCGACATATCTTTTTATTGATTGGTTTATATTCGTCTGCAATTCAGACAATCTTGGGGGAGCTTTTTCCTTTCAGAGGAGGTTCTGAAATGCAGACAGTGTGGCATACATCACCAAACAGAATCTGCTCCACGTCGAGCCACCATGGCGACTGCGAAGAACAGCGGAAAGAAGTCCAACGTGTACTGGGACAAGGACGGCATAGACGGAGGAAAGTCCTCTCTAGACGTCTTGCTGAACTGGATGACTATTGGGACAAACTACAATCGCTGGCGCGGCGCAGATAGGACCGGTGGCAACACTAATGAGTCCTTAGTGAAAGAGATCATGGTGGCACTTGAGACCGCCAACATCTCCCACAGGACGCCGGGACAAGTTCGCGATAAAGTGAGTAAGCTGGAAGAGAAATACCGTGCGGCCCAGTATTTCCTGGCTCAGACAGGAGCGGGTATTGCCGACCAAGCTACGCTACGGGGTGAAATATTGAAGTGTTGTCCCTATTTCTACCGCCTCCAAGATGTCATGACTGACAGACCCTCTGTCCGCCCCAGTGTGACATCGGACATGCTAGATGTAGTAGGGGGGGATAGACTCTCCGAGAATCGTTCAAAAAGGTGAGAAACGGCCGCTTGCACTCGCCGAGGGTACTCGGAACGCCCAAAGTAAACGCCAAAAGCTCGATGCTGTCGAGGCATTACTGGAATAGCACTCAGATGCACTTCGTCAGCGCATGGAAAAGAGACAAGCGCTGGAGGATGCGAAGAAGGAGGAGCTCCGCCTTAAGAGGCGTGAAGCTGATCTGAAGGAGGAGAGAAACAAGCGCGAAGCCGAACAAGCCAGCATAGCTCTTGCAATTCAGCAAGTTCAACTAGAAGCTGCGAAGCGAGATTCAATTGTGCAGCTACTACTGGCTCGTAAAAGGCTAGCTGATAACAGCATTCCAGATGATGAGATCAACTCACACGCAAACGACACCTCGTTCTGCTTAGCCTATCAAAAGTTTAGGTCAAAAATGTAGTCTCGAATATAATCTCTGCGATCACTACCGCTCTGTTCCTTAGCAGGTAATTCATTTTCGTCGGTGTTGCAGTTCGTTTCGGTGCTGATCCATTCTTCTGGAATTGGGTTATGAATTGCTAAGTTGGGCAATATCATTCCGCCCGTATAAGTCGAATAGTAGCAGCCAATTCCTTTGTGTTTCGAAGTGATGATCGAAGTCGTTTGAGTAATGGGAATCGACCCTTTAGCATTCCGATACAGTTCAGCACGTATGCGAATACGGGCAAGGCGCTTGTTAAAATACTTCTCTTTTATATCAAGCTGCCCACCACTAGACGTCTTGTACGCCGGGACCATCATATTCGAGCTTTGATACGCCGAGTCGCCCAGCAAGTACTCATCCACTCCAAAAAAACTAGGTTGATTCAAATTCACCCGGCAGTTCCACCAGACACGGTTGTCGTGGCTAGAC